AATTTTGTTTGCTGCCCTCACTGCATGTGTGACTGTTCATGTGGGGACCAAAGGCAGGGGTAAAGTTGGATTGGGAAGGAGTAAGCATGGGGAAAAATAGAGGGATAAAGGGATAAAACAGGCTCATCAAGTGTAAAGAGCTGACCACTCAGTATGATGGTGTGACTCTGATGCTTGATCACCGCAGTCTATCCTGTGTTCTTACGAAATCCTATTTCTAACCATCTTGTGTGTGGGTGCGTCCTCCCCTTTGGGGGGAGTGTGGTGCTCATGAACTTCAAACCAGGCTAACTAGAGCGGCAGAAGAGATTTGAGTGCCAGCAGCTGGTGTGGGACCATGAAAGTCAGGGGCTCCTGGGTCTCGGGCCAGCACCTGGGGAGGAGCAGGGTGAGGTTCCTCTCCAGTATGAAATCCCCGTTAGCTGGAGAGCAGGACCGGGCTGTTCGTGTCAGTGCTCTCTGTGTTCACAGAGGTGCTGGTAAGGGCACTGGTTTTCTGGCTGTATTTGGTCTCTGAGGCCATCCCTCTGCGTGTCTGCTTGTCTGTCCGTGTTGGGGAGCCTCACCACCAGCGGGATCTGGGGACACGGAGCTGCAGCAGCCTTGTGTCTGTCAGGCTGGGAGAGGAGGGCTCACCCTGGCTCCTGAGGGTACCCTAGGCTTGGCTACTTAGACACTTCGTGTTGTTTTGTCAGTGTTTGTATTGTTACAATTTTTCCTGGAAACAATTTTACATCTGTTGTTACGTCCTTGTTAAAACAGTTAAAGTAGCATCTAGTTTAATGGTGATCCAAAAAGAATCCCACTAGCAGAACCTCATCCCTTCTTTACTGGGGTTTCTTCATTAACTGTTACTTCAGTTATTCAGCTTTTAATACATTTGATGTGTCCTGTTATGCTCCTGTAATTAGTGTGTTTACTATGTTAAGCACTTCACAGAAGTCTTTTATATTTTTAGCTGCCATCTTTCTCAGCAGTACTTGCAATCCCTTCCAGCTGTAAAACCAGGCTTTTTTTTTTTTTAGCAAGACCTGTTTGTCTGTTACCATATTGACTGTTACTATTTCTATTCCTATCCTTTAATCCTTTATTTACTGAATCCTGTATTTTGACTTGCCTTATTTTGTGCAGGATAGATCTAGCAGATGTGTCCAGCAGACCTCTTCCAACCTCACTGCAAGTACACAGGCTAAAGAGTCAACGGGTGGAGCTGTGCCCTGTTAGGAACAGACAAGGCAAGGAAGCATCTGTGAGTGTAGCCCTCAGAGGCAGGGGAAGAGCCTTTGTGCTAAGCAAGTTTTAGTCTGTTTGTGCAGTTGGAAACTTCATCTTATTTCCTTGAAAACAGAGGGAACAGACAAAAAAATTCTTCATGCATGTATTGTCATTCTGTGTGTGACAAATGAGATAGTGGTTCAAGGTGTCTTTTAAAATAATTTTTTGCATGCATGTTATATGCTATGATAAATCCATGGTTGGTAACTGCATGCTTTTTGGTCAGAGGCAGCTCTTTGAAGAGGAGGAGAGGATTTCTTCTTTGAGAGCACCTTCCCATGGGAGAAGCTTTTCCAAGGAAGAACAGGGTAGGCAGCAATAGATGTGCTGACTGGGGAGATTGCACTTGGGGAGTTTTCTTAGAATAATGGGGAAGAGACACAAAACCAGGCCAGAGAAGATGAAAAGCAGGGAGGTTTTACTGTTGACCCAGAGGAGAGCAAGTAGAGTTCGTTGAAACTGTAGAGGCTATTCAAAGTTGCTAGTGTGAAAAGCAGGTCTGGAGGGAAAGGGCCCTTGTTGCAAAGACACAGTTGGGCAGAAAAGGTATTTGTTTTCAAATGGCTGTATTTTATCTCGCTCACCCGAAAGAATCTGGGTTTTCAGACAGAAGAGAGTTTGTTCAAGTTTATGTTCTAATAAAACATCACTTCTTCAAAGCCCTTTTGGTATTTTTTGGTGTGCTCACTTTAAAGAAAAGGTGCAGACAGGTCTGTCTAAAAGCTCTGGCTTGTTTGAGATTCAGTCGTAGCATAACAGTTAAAAAATATTATAGCTGGTAAAAGGTATTAGGCCAACTTTAAAGAAGTCCATCTGACTGCATCGTGAGGGCTCTTGAGAGAATTTGAAGAAAACTTTGCATACCGTTTGTGGGAAGCTGTCTGTTGTGAGTGCGTTTTATAAATCAGTTTACCCTTTTAAGAGTTTGCAGCACAGTTCTCGCTGGCTGTAGAAGCTACTGGTGGAGCTGCCAGAGCGTACCGTGTTAGGTCAAACATGGGATGGGGGATCTTACAGAAATGAAAACAAGAATGTCATCCTGCACCACACTTCTCTCTTAGAAGCCCCAAAGGAGCACAGTTCCTTTAAAAACAAGCAAAGGAAACACTCTCCTCAGCAGTTGTACCCCTTGGCTGGTTAGCTGCCCGTGGATTTTCTGAGTGACCAGGGATGGTGAGGAGACCTTCGCACACCTTGGTGGTTCTGCTGTGCTGCCCTGGGGCTGGGCTGCGCCTTGGAGGGCCGCCCAGGCCAAGAGGAGTAGCACCGCTCCTGGGAGGCTTCCTTGCCCACCCGTACTGGCCCGCCTTATCAAACAGAGCGAGAGTTACTTTGTAATTGCATTTGCCTTCTATTCAGGCAAGGAAGGTTTCCTATTAAAAAAAAAAATAAATCTTTCCAGTTGCCTTCGTGAGTGGCACTGCAGTTCAAATGCAATCCCATTTCCTGCCCTTCAGTAGGTTTTATACAAACCCAGCATTAACTTATCTTTTTTCCAAATGGACAATACTCTACACCCACAACGCTGAAGGCGTAGAAGCTTGTGATACGTCATATTTACACGATCTTTAACTGCAGGTAACATTCAAACCTGTGAGCTTTAGTTTTCTCTTCCATTAATACTCAGCATGGTATTTTTAATTCAGACAAATATAAATATATTCTGTTCAGTATTCTTTCTTTAAGTGCACGTACGGTTCACCATACAGAGACTTAATCATCCTCTGCATACCAACCATCCAGCTCTAGGACAATACTGTGGTGGTTTTTTTGGTGTTTGTTTTTTTTTTTTTTTCATAAACGATCTCTGGTCCTTTATCAGCAGTGGAAGAGGGAGGAAATACTTCACGATATATAACCTCCCCCAGTTTGGATGTGTATATTTAAAGAATGATCTTTGCTCTTATTCTGGAGCTGTACTGATTTGAAAGTGGATTGGGGTTGTCCACTGTGACAGCCTCATGTGGGGGAACATGAGGACTGAATCCCTTCTCTTAAAGGCTGTCTCTCGTCAAGCTTGAGGATAGAAATGAGTCAAATTCCTTTTCATATTACTTTATGTGAAGGAGACTTTGGCAAGATCCACATTGTCCTCTAATTTCAATTAACTGAAATTAATTGTTTCAAATATCTACCTGCTCCCTGCTCTAGAATATTCAACCTGAATTTGCCTTTTCCAGTTCTGGGGAGATGCTGCTGGATAGCTTTGTGTTTTAAAAGACTCTCTGGATCTGCCTGTTCTGGAGTCGTGAATCTTCACTTGATACATTTTCCCCAACACTTCCCATCCCATCTTCCCTCATTTAATTTCCTTTTCTTCACCTATAACTGTCATATTTTTAGATTCAAGTTGGCTCTGCACCAGAGAATATTTTTATTTTCATCAAATAACATATTGTATACTCCAACATATGGATGATTTGCCTTTTCTTACTTGTTTTCTATTTTTTCTAAAATGCAATGGTTGGTTCAGAAGTTCAGTCTGAAACTTGAAACAAATTTGTTGTTTTCTCTGATCACTTGTGAACTTTGTGTGTATGGACTTTCTATACATTGCTTGCTTTTTGCAAAGAGGTAATATCAGTTATATAAGAAATGGCCTTCAAAATGTCAATACACTGTTTGAAAACGTAGACTAGTCATGCAGGAAACAGAACGAAGATTATAGGATGAATAGTCAAATTCTTTAAATATTGAAAGGGATTGAAAAAACAAACAGCTTTCATCAGAAAGCAGTTCTTTTAGATATTACTGACTATTGGAAAAGGGACTGCAGGAATACATGATTCAGAAATACGTGATTTCATGTTTGTGTTTGATCAAAACAATTTCTAACAAAATAATGGAAGACGTGTCTATGCATATGAGATGAGGAAGAATTTGGAGGATTGAATTTGGTGAAAGAATTATAAGACTTATTAGGCTTATTAGTTGTTCTGCTAAAACAAAGATGGCATTACGGGTAGAAGTGGATTGATCTTTTCAAACAATATGCAGGATTTATGATGGAATAGTTTAATGGATTTTTTCCAAGAGTTTTAGTAGTTGAAAATTGGGAAGATAAACAACCTGAAAGTATTCAGTTTTGGGCCCCTCACTACAAGAAAGACCTTGAGGTGCTGAAGCGAGTCCAGAGAAGGGCAACGAAGGTGGTGAAGGGCCTGGAGCACAAGTCTGATGGGGAGCGGCTGAGGGAGCTGGGGGTGTTTGGTCTGAAGAAGAGGAGGCTGAGGGGAGACCTGATCGCTCTCTACAACAACCTGACAGGAGGGGGTAGCCAGGTGGGGGTCGGTCTCTTCTCCCAAGTAACAAGCGATAGGACAAGAGAAAATGGCCTTAAGTTGCGCCAGGGGAGGTTTAGATTGGATATTAGGAAGAATTTCTTCACCAAAAGGGTTGTCACACACTGGAACAGGCTGCCCAGGGAGATGGTGGAATCACCATCCCTGGAGGTATTTAAAAGACGTGTAGAGGTGGTGCTTAGGGACATGGTTTAGTGGTGGGCTTGGCAGTGTTGGGTTTACTGTTGGACTCGATGATCTTAAAGGTCCTTTCCAATCTAAACAATACTATGATTCTATGAACACAAATTGCTGATATGTGAGTAGAAGCAAACCAAAAGGATTTTTTTTTTTAATGATGCTTTAATTACAGATCACCATGTTAGGGAGAGGAAAATAAAATAAAGACGCAACTGAACTAGTGACTTTGTTTTGCAGGTTCTTTCATGTTGGTGAATACATCTGGGAAATTTGCAGGACAGAAAGCTCACCTCCTGCTGCCCCATCTGAAAGAAAATGATACACACTGTATTGATTTCCACTATTATGTTTCAAGCAAGAGCGGATCTAGCCCTGGCACTTTGAATATATATGTGAAAGTTAATGATGGCCCTATTGGTAACCCGATCTGGAACACATCTATCACTGCTACTTGGAACAGGGCGGAACTGGCAATTAGCACTTTCTGGCCCAATTTTTATCAGGTATGTTTTACTTTTTCTGATGTTTTGTTTCTCATGATAGTCACCTGGTTCTTAATCATCGTTTTGACTTTCTATCAAAATATCTTTTGTTATGTTGATCTTTATCTTAATTATATTTTTGTAGATGATGCTAAATGTTTGGTTTTACATATATATGGCTTTATTTATATGTTTACATGTATTTATAGAAGTGTATGAAATGTATGCACACACACATGCTTTACATGTGTATGAAATAATCATATTCAAACAATTTAGAAATTTGGCCATTGATTTCAGTCAATTATCTCTGTTTCTCTATAATAAATTCACTTATTCTTTCAGTTCATTAGGGATGCTGGAATTGAATGCCAATAGATTTTATTGCAGTAGAGTCTTGAACTTTGATTTAGATCAGAAATGCTTACTGCTTTAGAACCAGCAGAATCCTTTGAATCCTCAGTTTGTCTTCAGTTTGAATGCAACATCCATTTCTTCTGTCCAGTAGTAAACATAAATATAAGGGTAGCTATTGTAGGAATGGGCTTCTGATTACATCCTAAAGATTTAGGGAGAATTTCACTTGACAGTTCCTTAGGGTGCTGCTTTTCTGTAGGAATGTTTACAGATTGTACAGTTATTTAGTGTAGTTCAACATTTTTTTCTCCTCTTCCCATGAAAATATAGTCTATGTCTCCACAAGCAAGTAAATTGGTGTAATAAGAGCAGACCAGTAGACCAAAGATATTATTGAGACTCCTTTCACCTTCACTTGCATTTTGGAATTTTTGGATTTTTGGTTTGGATTTTATTTGGTCCCCTATGCTGAACATTGTCACCATACTTATGGTTTGAAGCTTTCTGAAGAAAAGCAGTCCCAAAGATGGGTTTTTTCTGACTGCAGGCCTCCCTAGGAAGTACAGTGTTGTCATTCCACAGTGTCATTCCAGTGGTGATGTCCACTGCAAGGTACTCAGGGGGATTATAGTGGCCTTCTTTCTGTGGCTGCAGCAGCTGATCTGTGAGCGTGTCTCAAGTGAACTGTTCCTTTTGAACCCTTTTTCCTCTAAGGAACAAAACAAGCTGAAGAACTTTCTGGAGTCTTTCCCTCTGTGATTGTTTTACCCACAATTGACAGAAAGTCCTGGTCCAAAAGATGAGTTTGGAGTACCAGGATCATCTTGTTCTTGGAACATGGGATACCTGGTGGTGGGTGCAATACTTGCAGACCCAACAGTGTGCACTCGTTTGTTTCCTCTTGCCTCCAAAAGTGTATTCCTAGGTTGTGTAGGGGGTATTGATAGGGTCCACATTTGCATCCAGTGTTCTGCCCAAGGTGGCTAGGAATTGCTACAACTGTGTCGTCAGGGCTTCCTGGACAGGATTCAGAGTAAGTTTACGGACATCTCAGCAAACTTCACTGGGAGGACTCATGATGTAGCTCTACTATAATTGGCCATGGGCTCAATGAGGGAATACCGGCACCTTTTCCAGAAGGGCAGGCATATTAGCAGAGTTGAGGTTCACCTCAGCATTGTGGGAGAAGCTGTGTACTACCTGCTTCTCTGGAGCATGACGCTGTATCCTGATCATGGAGTCCAAGCTTGGTTTAGCCATACCTTTGCATCTCTCAGAGTGAAAGGGCAATGTGTATTTTGTTGCCTGTCAGAGTTCAAGCAGTGTTTGGATGATGCTCTTAGTCATACTGTTTAGTTTTAGGTAGTCCTGTGAAGAGCAGGGCGTTGGACACGATGATCCTTATGGAACCCTTCCAACTTGAGGTATTCCATGATTCTATGACCTTACTGCAAGACTGTGGACCCCACATTACCAACTTAATGCCAGTGTTGAGAATGCCCCCCAGTGATGCCAGAGAACCTTTCTGTCTTGACTGAAATAATGAGGACCAGTCTGTGTCATTAGCCTCAGTGGATGGTGGAAGAAGAGTAGAGCATCCCACAGACAATTTCGTGGCTGACACCAGATGTAACTCTGGGTGGTTTGTAACATGGGATCTACCGGAGGGTTTTGTGAGCATGCTGGGTGCTTCAGGGGCACGATGTGGTGCATACACATTTTGCAGAGACTGGTTGAATGTGTGACTGTGTTGCTCATGCCAAAGTCTGGACCGTAATGTCCCCATCTGGGTTTGGAGTGAATTAGCAGAGGAGCTCCCAATTTCCTGCCTTCTGAAAGGAGTCCGATTTTCATGCAACAGAACTGCTTTGTGAAACAGCAGTCTGTAAAGATGAGGATTGTGCTTCAAAGCCTCACTCTAGCTCTGAACCAAAATGCTGATGTGGACAGGGGAATTTTAGCAGAAGCAGCCTTGACTCTGACTAGTAAATTTAAGCTAAATTAACATGTTAATAAAAATACAGGCAAGCTCTGATAATTTTAAATGTTACTGATATTAGTAATAATCTGTGTCAGATTTCTAACAATATGATACATCTAGCTGATGTCCCAGTAACATGGATTTGGCTATAGAGATAGAAGGATAACCTTTCTAGGCCGCTTTCTCCTCGAGACCTGCCATCTGGACTGTTCACCCTTATTCATAGGTGAACCCTTATATGCTTGGATGAAGTACCGCCGTGTAGCAAATTCCCATGCATCAGCTGATAGGTAATAGACACCTGAGCCTATCTGTAATGGATTCAATGTACTGTCTTTGCCTCTGGAAATACAGAATTTTTTACATAATCTTTCTTTCACAGAGGAGCATAATAAGCCATTTTCTTTGCATTTGCTGCATATAGTCTGAAGTAATACCTGGTTAGGTATTGCAGTTTCGCTGATGTGCCAAAATGTCTTACGCTATAGCAATATCTGTGGCAGTCCAAAGAATGAGTGTAAAACAGTGTAACTTCACTGTTTTCATTGTAAATATGGTAATTTATTCTTGAGGAAGCTCTGTCTCCATTTTGACAGCTTATGGTCAATCGTCTCCATTTTTCTTGCCTCCGTCCTCTCAGAAATTTGTGATGCAATTTCCTCACTCGCCCTGTGACACTTGCAGTTTCTTCTTGTTTCTGAACTCTTTTCATGTGCTTTATTCTCCACAGAATCTGTTTTCAGGGGAGGCAGAAGGCTGCAAGCAGCTGGGAGAAGGGCAGGAAGAGGAGAGAGGGTATATGTGAATCTTGGGAGAATGTGTGTCCAAGTTAGGCGAGAGCTCAGATGAGTGCATGTGTGGTGGGAGAAGGCAAAGGACCCACCTGCCCGGTGTCTAGCACCAGGTCTGTTTCCTAAGCTGCTAGTCATTTGATTCCAAAACTCTGACCTCTTTTGGCACAAATACATGTGTTTCCCACATAACCTCCAACGTGTACAAGACTTCCTCCGAGGGATTTTCTGAGGTTGTCTGACCTTTTTGAACAAAATTAAAAGAAGTCAGCTAAGAAGATTTTTAAGGATTTTTTAACTTTCAGGATATGAAGGTTGATAGTTTCCCAATGAGTAATCTTCAGGGAAAGACTTGGCATTAGTAGGTGAAGGGACAAAGCAATGTAATTGTGTGATTTTCTCTGCTGTGTTTTAAATCACATATCCGTGTAAGCATCTGCATGTTTGTGAATGCCTTATCATTCCATTCCATTAACAGGACACCTACAAGGTGTCTAGCTGCAAATGAAACCAAAATGTACTACAGAACTCTGAAGACAAATTATGTATGATAATATTTTAGAGTACAATATTTATACAGTTCAGGATGCTTGAAAACACAGTGGTGTTGGTCTGTTTTGCTGTTGATTCATGAGAAATGTTGGCAAAATAACTCCCACTAATGATAGCTGACTAGAAATTAGATTGTGTAGTGTGGGGTGAATTTTAATCCAACTTCTAAAGATTTATTTGTTTAAACCACATATTATTAACACATATGTGGAAAGCGTTCAAAAGATTTAATTATTAACAGTATTTTATTAGTGTACCACCAGTTATCCAAGCTTGTTAATACCTTTCATGTTGGATTTCCATTTAGAATTGACTCTTTAGAAGTACAGTCTCTGAACAAAGTAATTAATTTCTTTTAGTGTACGCTTTTCTTTTTACTAGGTAATTTATTTGTATAGGTTTCACCCCTTATGAAAGCTGTACAGTATCTAAATCACAATGATAACCTGCATGTAACAACACTAATTGTAGTTTAATTACTGCTTATTTAAACTTAAATTGTCAAGTATTCTGGTGATCAAGGATATATTTAATTCCATAATTAATGGTCCTCTAGGTGCTACTGCTTAACATCTGCCTTGGACTTTAGGGTATGTCTACGTTGCAGTCCAGTTACCGATTACAGTATAGTTGCAGTAACATAGCTTCAAGCTGCCAAACACCTTCTGAGGGTCAAAGCTAATCAGAACAGCTTGTTCTTTCTGCTGTGCCTCCTGGTCTCTCAGCTATTTGTTTCAAAGTAGCTGGGATATTTCTACGCGAGCTAGGCGTATTTCTGTACTCCCCTGAGGGAGCATTGGCTTCCTCTTTTTATCATTGGTCACACGAGAAATTGTTTGCTTTACTGAGCTATTGTCTACTTGGTGCACCTTAAGCAAGAGCATCAAGGAGTTTATCATGCCATTAGAGACAGCCTGCAAACCAAACAAGGCTTCGCATAATTACTAGAACCTTCACCCTCCTCCTTACTTGAATAGAATCAGGATGTACACAGAAAAGAGGATTAAATGCTACGTAGAGTTCTATGAGCAGTGGTGAGCTTGGTTTTAGATTCTCGGGGAGCAGTCTCAGTAGGCTGAGAGGCTCTAAAATTGATGCTTTGAGATACAAGTCCTGAAAAGGCGGCTCCTCTAGTAAGGAGAAGCTGGGAGGGTTTTTGGGGAGTTGTTTTTATTTTCTTAAATGTTTTGACTTTTTTCCTCATTTGGATCTTTTAGCAGGAGGAAAATCTGTTGATTTCAGCGTTGTTTTCTTGTTTTGTGTGGTTGGGGTGGGGGAGTAATTTTTTTTTTTTTTCTTCTTCCCTAGGTTAGTTAATGATTCTCAGACCAATTAGTAGT